CTTTCCGAGCAGAGCTGTTAACTTATGACCTCCCAGACACTAAGTCGCGCTTTCTGTTGGAACACAGTCCGTCAGGCCCCTCCGCTTTTGCCAGCCAGACTCGGGGGCTCTGCTTGGCCGGTGAGCCGCCCCTCCTCCCTGGCTTCCTCCCGCAAGTCCGTGGAGCACGCACCACCTCGCTGCCCTTCCTACCCTGTTCGGTGGGCCTCTCGTCTGCGCTTGGCTCCGGAGACTCCATTCTGCTAATCCTCTGGCGGTTTTCTGGGTTATTTAGGCAGGTGTAGGTGGAATCATTGAAACGAGGATTATTTTCAGTTCCCCATATAGGGTGATCTGGAGAGGAGAGCTTGATCCAGCGAGACCAGATAGAATGTTCTAACAAAACCTCCAGGGTAATTAACAGGCGTTATCTACCCAAGGAATAGAACAAATAGGAAGTTCAGGTTCTAAGGAGCTGCCTTGTTTGTGCCAGTGGCCCCACGCTAGCTCTTTATTAATTGCACCACCTGGGATGCTGATAGCGAACTGAGCTTTGGAACATTTCAGGCCTGGCATGGAATGTAGTTTTTACACAAGTGTCTTGTGGTTCAGAAATCCGATTTCACAGCTTATCTTCCATTAGATGAAAGTGTTTACGGTGTGTCTGGAGCTGGAGTAAGTTCCTGCAGGTGCCCAAGAACAGGGGCCTCCTCTCTCCTCTCATTAATTTGCTGATGCCTAACTGCACTGACACAGCGGTGAGATACCGGGGAGAGGGAGTGTGTGTGGCATTTTTATTTGTTTTGGTATAATGCTGGCCTCAAAGAATTAATTTGAAAATTTTCCTTTCCCCTCTTTTTTGGCAATGTTTTGAGAAAAATAGCTATGAATTATTCTTTAAATGTATGGTAAAAATCATCTGTGAAGCAAACTGCTCCTTAACTTTTGTTTGTTGGGAGTTTTGGATTACTGATTCAATCTTCTTGCTGGAAATTGGTCTATTAAAATTTTCTATTTCTTCCTGCTTCAATTTTGGAAGTTTATATGTTTCTAAAATTTATCCATTTCTTCTAGGTTGTCCAATTTTTGGCATATAGATTTTCATAATATCATTTTACAATTATTTGTATTTATGTGGAGTTGGTTGTTATTTCTCCTCTTTCACTTGGGATTTTCTTCATTTGGGTTCTCTCTCTCTCTCTTTCTCAATGAGTCTGGTTAGAAGTTTATCAGTTTTGTTGATATTTTCAAAAACCAGCTCCTGGCTTCATTTATCTGTTCTATTGTGTTTTTTGTTTTGTTTTGTTTTTTTAGTTTCTATACAATTTCTTTCTGCTCTAATCTTTATTATTTCCTTCCTTCTGGTGACTTTAGGTTTCATCTATTGTTCTTTTTTTTGTGGTTCCTTTAGGTGCAAAGTTTTGTTGTTTTATTTGAGTTTTTGTTTTGTTTTGTTTTTGCTTCTTGATATAGGTCTAAATTGCTATAGACTTTCCTCTTAGGACCACTTTTGCTGCATCCCAATGGTTTTGGACCACTGTGCTTCCATTTTCATTTATTTCTAAGTATTTTTTAAATTTCTTCTTTCATTTTCTGTTAACACATTCATTGTTTACTAACATGCTGTTTAACGTCTATGTATTTGTGGTCTTTCCAGATTTTTTCTTCCGGTTGACTCATTGCATTGTGGTCAGAAAAGGTGTATTTTATAACTTCAATCTTTTTGTAATTATTAAGGCCTGATTTATGATGTAATATATATTATATGATCTATTCTGGAGAATATTCAATGTGCACTTGAAAAGAATGTCTATTGTTTTCTTCTGCTTTAGGATGGAATTTTCTGAATATATCTATTAAACCTATCTTGTCCAGTGTGCCATTCAAAGCCTTTATTTCCTTGTTTATTTTCTGTTTAGGTGATCTGTTGACTAGTGTAAGTGGAGTGTTAAATTCCCCTACTATTACTGTATTATTATCAATTAGTTCCTTTATGTTTGTTATTAACTGTTTATATATTTGGGTTCTCTCATGTTGGGTACCTAAATATTTACAACTGTTAGATCTTTTTGGATTGTTCCATTTCGATTATATATTGCTCTTCTTTGTTGTTATTGTCTTAGTTTTAAATCTCGTTTATCATATGTAAGTATTGCTACACCAGCTTCCTTTGACATACATTTGTATAATAAATGTTTCTTCATCTCTTCACTTTCAATCTGCTGGTGTCTTTGGGTCTAAAATGAGTCTCTTATAGGCAACGTATAGATAAGTCTTGTTTCTTTATCCATTCTGACATGCTATGTCTCTTGATTGGAGTGTTTAGTCCATTTACATTCAAAGTAATTATTAATAGATATGTATCCATTGCCATTTTCTTACTTGTTTCATTGTTTCTGAAATTTTTTTTCTCTGACCCCTTCTTGTCTTTGTCACTTTTGCTCACTCCTTTCCACTCAGAGTCCCCTTTTATATTTTTTGCAGAACTGGTTTAGTTTTCATAAACTCTTTTAGTTTTGTTTGTCTGGGAAACTCTATCTCTCCTTCTATTTTTAATGATAGCCTTTCTGGATAGAGTATTGTTGGCTGCAGACTTTTCTCACTTGGCCATTTGAATATAATATGCTACTCCCTTCTGGCTTGCCAAGGTTCTATTGAGAAACCTCCAGCTAACCTTATGAGTTGTCTCTTATAAGGAATTCTTTTTTCTTGTTGATTTAAAGTTTTTTTTTCTCTGTATTTTGTAAATTTAACTACAATATGTATTGGTGTGGATCTGCTTTTGTGGATTTTGATGGACGTTCCGTGCGCCTCCAGGGTCTGGATATCTGTTTCCTTCTTGAGATTAGGGAAGTTTTCAGCTATTACTTCTTAAATGACATTTCTGCCCCCCTTTCTCTTTCTTCTTCTTCTGGGACTCCTATAATACAAATGTGATTACATTTGATGGAGTCATAGACTTCCCTATTCTCATATTGCATAACTCTTCTTTCTCTCTTTTGTTCAGCTTTATTGCTTTCCATTACTTTGTCTTCTCGGTCACTAATTTTTCCTCTGCTTCTTGCAGCCTGCTATTCATTGCAACAAAATGTTTAATCTCATTTATTGCACTCTTCATATAATCATTACTTTAAATTCTGTATCAGGCATATTATTTACTTTTCACTAGATCTCCTGCTGTGATTTTGCTGTTCTTTCACTTTTGACATATTTCTCTGGCTCCTCATTTTGTCTACCTCTCTGTGTATTTCTCTGTGTTAGGAAAGTCAGCTACATCTTCTGGTTTTGAAGGCAGTGACTCTATGAAGATAGGTTCTATACTGCCCAGCAGTGCACTATACCCTGTTCACCAGAACTTGACACATTAGGGACTCTCATGTGTGTTGCTTGTGTCCTGTGTTTGAGTCACTTTCCATTTCAGCCCAGATGTCTACAAAGACTGTTTGCATTTTGTGGGCTGTGTTTTCTCTCTGGGATGTTTGTGAGACCCAGGCTCTGATGGGGTGTGACCATAGAAAAGCTCAGGGGCAAGGCAGCAATGTTAGCAAAATTTTCACTCAGCTGTAAGGCCTGGGCTGGTTCCCTTCCAGCTGGCTGGTCATGGGTGTGCAGTGTGTGGTGGTGGTGCTGGGAACTGAGTGCATGTGTTGTCTCTGTGTATGGCAGCTGGGCAGGGCCTGTGCAGCATTATCAAAATTTGCACTGAGTCACTAGTCCTAGGCAGAATTCCAGGAAGCACAGTGGCAGTAGGAGCATGCTGCATGCTGCATGGCAGTGGTGGTGGCCAGGGGTATGAAATCTGTGTTTGTGATGGCCTCGTGCACCATCTGTGCACCTGGAAGCTGGCCATGGCACATGGCATCTGTGTGCATGGCAACCAGCACAGAGCATGGTGGCTGGGGCATAGGATATCTGTGTATTCAGCAAATGAGCAGGGAATACACAACATTAACAAAATTTGTACTGAACCCAGGGCCAAGGCCAGCAGTCTTGGAGTGGATGAGTTCTCAGGAGAACTGGTGGGTAGGGCACACTGCCTGTGCAGTGCCTGTGCAGTGTCACCTCCTGCAGATGGCTCAGTGTTTATGCTGGAGGGTAGGGATGGGAAATAGTACCTGCTAACTCCTTTATTCCCAGAGAAATCTACTAACACACACCAAAATCAAGATAAACATATCTCCATGCTGTTGCAAGCTGTCACCTCTATGTAGCCTCTCCTAGGGCTGTTGTCTCTTTATGATGGGGACAGTCTATCACTCATCCTGCCTGTTCATCCAGTGCTGAGTCAGCTGACATTTGAAGCTCAAGGCTCCAGTTTCTAATGGTTATAGAAACTCACAGAATTCAGCCCCTCTGGTTTTCAAGGTCACACAATATGGTTATTCATTTTCCCTGTGTAGGCTCCCTGGTAGTTTGTGCTGTTCACAACCACAGCTCTTTCCCTCCTGTAGACAGCTCCTCTGTGTCCTTCTTAATCTTCTACCACTTCTGCCCTTCTTAATCTCTATGATATGGCTTTTTTTCCACCTTTAGTTGTGGAGTTTGTTTTTCCAGTCTTCAAATTGCTCCCTTGTCTATTCACTTGTGTGACAGTGATATCAAGTAAAAAATATGGGACAAGATGAGCTTAGAATCCCCCTAATAAACCATCTTCTCAAGCCTCACCTGTGTTACATTTCTCCATATTAATAATGAAACAGCAGAAAGATAAATTTAAAAAGTCATCCCATTTTCAATTGCACCTAAAATAATAAGATACCTAGGAATAAACCTAACAAAAGAGGTCAAAAACTTGTATTCTGAGAACAATAAAACACTGATAAAAGAAATTGAAGTCAACACAAAAGAAATGGAGACATTCCATGCTCATGGATTGGGAGAACAAATATTGTTAAAATCATTATACTATCCAAAGCAATCTATGCACTTAATATAATCCCAATTGAGATACCAACAGCATTTTTTACAGAACTGCAATAAACAATCCTAAAATTTGTATGGATATATGCAAAAGAACCTGAATAGCCAAAGCAATCTTGAAAAGGAAAAACATAACTGGAGGTATCACTTTTCCAGATGTCGAGTTGTACCACAAAGCTGTAATAATCAAAATAGCATGGTACTGGCACAAAACAGATACATAAATCAATGGAACAGAATAGAAAGCCCAGAAATAATCCTACTCTTATAATTCAATTAATCTTTGACCACAGAGGAAAAAATATGCAATGAAAAAATACAGTCTCCTCTATAAAATGTGTTGGGGAAAACTGGTCAGTTATACTCAAAAGAATAAAACTAGATCACTTTCTTACACCATACACAATAATACATTCAAAATGGGTTAAAGACCTAAATGTGAGACCTGAAACCATAAAAATCCTAGAAAAGATTATAGGC